TAAATTGGACGCACCGGATACCGAAGGAGGGTTGCCTTGAGCGTGTGACTTTTGGATTGTGCCAGGAAGACCTCAGCCCACTGTCCTGCGACCCCGATGACTCTCTGCTAAGCTTGCGTTCCTCATTAGACAGACATTGTCAGAGTCAGAAACACCCATTCACGAATATTCACTGAAAAACACTGCACCAAGCTTTGCGCATCGCACAAGCATTCAGTAAGCTGAAACAAGCCTCAGCATCACAGGATAATACGCTTATTTATTTGCATACAGAAAGGTTGTGACCATATCCGTTCTTCTTCATACATCAACTTCACTCGCCTACATGAACGCAGGACAAACATAAACCAGTCAACCAAGTCATGGAATGCCTCATTAAGATCGCAAGCAGAGATATAAGAGGCAATTAGAATTCCAGCTTTCTTGGTTTAGTGTTTCTTTGTGATTGGTCGTGACTAGTGGTTTCTGGTTCTGACGATGCCCAACACACGACGGACGAAAGCTCAGCACGGAGTCGTCATGGACGCAGGACGGCGAGCCAAGGCCTTCTGCGCACAACCCAACAGTCACATGTGCAAAGTGACCCTCCTTCGGTATCCGATGTGACCCACTTTTTCAAACCAACTGGAAAGTATGCCCATAGCAATCTACTAAGACAGTCTTCAAAAGCAAGCCTCTATTTATATTCTTGAGTTTGTGCCAACCTGAATCCTTTTCCAGAATGTGTTCAAGCTCTTACGATGTCCGTCAAGGGGCAGAACCGACGAAAGTTTAGCCGGTTTTCACCGAAAACCAGGAAGGATGTCTCGTGGACCGGCAAATGCGACGGCAGAACAACGAGACTCAGTTGACACAAATAGATATGACATTAAAGTATCCACAGCAATGTAATCTTAAGCGATTCAACGAAACTCAGCCATATTTCGTACAATATCCGTATACTTTACCTCGATTCAAACGCTAGAGAAGCACAGAACTCTTAGATCTTGAGGGTCCAACCAATGTTGCTATTACACAGACGCTGCGTGGAGGAGCCATGCACGGAAAAAGTCTCGATGATAAACAGTTTGAGGAAGTCACAATTATTCCGGAGAAGCCAAGCGTCGGGACTTTAAGCAGTGCTGAGGTAGAGAATATGAAGATGATCCCTTAGCAATTTCGTTTTGTCCGTTAGTTCTTCCCACCAAGTACGTTGCGGTCGTCAAGCTCGGTTTCTTAGCCTCGTCTGAGAGTTGACGAGTCGCCTGTTCAACGGGTCTGACGTGACTATGACAGAACAGCAATCCGAAAGACCGAGTGTCAAAACGAGGACTGAGAATGTATCTTACACTCTTGGCTGTTTGTCTAAGAGGCGGAGTCTCACTCAAATGTTATGATCCGGTGACAGTTCGAGAAGAATTGAATCAGAAACGCAAAGTATGACGCAGATTTGTCATGCTTGTAGAGCAAAGTTCCTGTTCAGTGAATCGCAGTGGTCTCGATGTATACTCACTAGACAAAGTGTAGTATTTAACTCGCAGCGCTGGGGACCAAGATGATCGTATTCTCCTTTCAATATTGTTGAGCACACTTTCGTTTCGAGTGAAAGTGTTTGGTGGGGCCGGATTCCTCTCGACCAGCTGTCGATAGGCTTTGCTTGAGCATTCATGTTGACGCTGTTTCCGAGAAAATCTCCTTCGATTCCGATGAAAGCGTGCTAAGCTTTCGTCCTTCGTATGACAAACATCATCAGAGCAAGGTATCATCGTCACGACCAAATTCAGGCTAACCGATCAAGAAAACTCCCCAGCAAACCATCAAAAAGATGTACATATATACTCTATGTGTGACCTCTTTTTGATGAGGTATAAAGTGATTTGGTTAGTTACTGTCATATGTCAACCTCGAAGCCTGTGAGTGTGTCTGTCTCTGTATATGAATGCGTATGTGCCTGTTTGTGTCCGCTTATGCACGAAAACCGCACTGTAGTTAGGACAGTAAAAGTAACATGAGATGTGTTCACCCAATTTCGTTTAGGCTGATGAAGGACTGGTGGAAGAATTTTCCCACAATCCTATGAGTAGAGCTGACGTTTCCATTCAATTTCACATAGCCTTGCTTTCCCAAAAGTTGTTCTTATCCTCGACCTCTTATTGGTCTTATCAACAACTCCAGCGGGAGTCGAACCGTGACAGTGTAGAATAGGAGCTTGACACGTTAGCCACTCGAACACATTGCCACGAGTGCCTTTGGGTCACAGGGCAGATGTGAATTTCGACGAAGGCCAGACCTTTTTCCGTATCACATTCTTTGGTGAGATTGTCGATGAAGCAAACGTATTTTTGCTATTACAATCGACTACACTACTTATTTTTCGTATGTAAGTAGAGTTTCGAGACTACCAGTAAATCAGTTATATCACATGTATTCACCATATTTTTTTTAAGGTGATGAAGGACTGGTATTTAAACTGCAGTCTACCCTGGATGAGGACAACTTTTGGGAAAGCAAAGTTATGTGAAATTCGTTCAAAAAGCTATTCCTTATTAATATAATGCTATTTTCAAAGACTTCGAGAAAATTAGTCAAGGTATGGAGTTGACTCTATTTGACAAATTGTGGTATGATGGCGAGAATGGCAAAATCCACTGAAATGCTGTCTAGATGCTAGTCGTTTGTTCTAGACTGAAAGTCATCATCAAAATTACTGCAGACGCCGGACAAGTTACGTCCAATCAGGTCAAGCTGACAACAGGAAAAATGCACGAAAACCGAGTCAAACCTCTTCCGCAAAGTGGTATTGCCACTAGTAGTGAAAAATGTAATTTCCAGAAAACATGTCTTTGCATTTTGCGAAAAAGTTGGTTGTTTTTTGTATGTGCTATTGCGTACTGTGTGCATGCAATGCCCACACCATTTGAAGTGTAGGTTTCAATCACACTCGGGACCATTCAAGCCTCCAGTTCTTACTCGGCCGTGCTTCCTGTCGCTCCTCAAGTCTGTCCAACAGCCACACATAGTTCCTGCCCGATTTCCTACATTTATTCCTCCTATTCTGAATGTTGGCTGTTTGATTATTTTCATAGACTCCCTAATCCTACGCTCTGATATGCGATCCCCTTAGCCTGTGAAACGCTGTGTGATTTGAGCCACTCCACTTCTTGTCCTGTATCAGCCGAGTCTTCACCTGGCTCGGACTTTTGCACCCACCACCTTCGCAGATGCTTTTGTGTTAAGATAACTTCTGATGTATCAGTCGGCAGGTCTTCCCGCACATGAACACTAACCCACGACCCGAAAACAGGGTCCGAAAATTGTTAAAAATTAAGCATCACTGAAGACAGTGTCAGTATCTCTTTTTACGTTGTTATGATGTTCCTCTTCCTCAATAGTCAGCCTAACTTTCTCAAAAGCGGACAGGCTGGCAACAACAAGAAACGAGAGAGGAGTCCACTTATTTCTCTCCTCTTTAATAGTCATTTTCTTGCATTCTATTGTGGATTGATGAAAATTATTCTCAATCAATCCTGTTGGATAATTATTTGTAGCTAAAATCTCTTCATTTCCTGCTGCCGTTAGCTTTCATCCGAAAGACGCAGACTTCATATTATCACCGACTTCAAAATCCTCTTTTTTATCCCGTATGCATATTTATAAAAGAAAGTACCTTTCCTAACACTTCCATACTTAACTTGCTGGCTTTTTTACTTACCAAGACTTAGCGTCCTATTCTAACTCCACAGTAAAGTTAGCAATTCCATCTAATCTGTTCGGTATCTTCAAAAACTTCTCTATTTTTCT